GACTATTTTGATTGAACATAATTTGAATATTGTCAGACATAAAATGTAATTTCATTAAATTTGGTCAAAACATATCAATTTTTATTAGTTAAGAAAAACAGTTTTCTTCATTTTACTGCATATGAAAACATTAGACTCTATAATAAAACGCCTGTCACAATTTACTTAAACTGGGTACCTATTTCTACAAAATAAGCATTCAAATTATAGTATATAGAATTGAGAAAATACATTATTCTACGACATAAAATTGCCATTCTATATTAATTATACATATAGATTACTATAAATAGTAACTGATATAACTTTTATTCCATATAAATGCTAACCTTAAAAATCTTTGAAATGGGTTAATCTTACCATTCATTTACCGACTGATAATACTGGTTCTCGAACTTAAACGTCGTTCATCCAATTGATCTGTATTTATATCACAAACATGGTATTATAATATACAGCAAACAAAACACTTAATTTACTCAAGTTTGTTTCTCGTCAATAAATAAACTTCTTCTGTACACCCTGTTTCTTGAACAAGAGTCGATACTTTGCCTTCATCATCAGTGTCTCACTTCTACGATTGCGACGGAAGAGAGTTTTTTTGTAGACTTTCCTTGTCTTCTAATTTGGCCGACATTCCATGCCAAAGCTGCTTCATTCAAATTATGTTTCTCCATAGAGATACCATTGCTTGTAGTTCTCATACCTCGGATAGTTTTCCGAGACAAGAAAGACATCTTGGCCATCTTCACTAGTTTGAGGGTACAACAAAATCCGTCAAATACAGCATTTCACACTGGAAGGGTAAATAAGAGATTAACACATTAAAAGTTAAATCCCTGTCATGCCTTTACAATGCACATAGAAATGGTGCTTTCGTCTCAAGTGGCAGAAAAAGATCCCTGGATGGGATGCCAGTCCATCACAGATTAACCCCCAGCTAACAACTTGTACCTACTATTATACCTGAATAAACTGGAACAAGCAGGGTAAAGTGCCTTGCACAAGGACACAACAACATGACGCAGGCCAGCCTCAAACTCACAACCGTCCGACTACGAGTCCAAAAGGTGAAGCCACTGCGACACTCATAATATTATCCCCTTTTGCAATGTGAGAGGTGTAGAATTTTTCACCACATTGGCCTAGCATAAGCTGGTTTGAGGTATTTCAGAGTATAGTTAAATACATCATGCCACTCCTCTAAAAGCTCTGAACCAGTAACTTACAATCCCTGTTGTCTTAGAGGCTCTTAAATTTGCTTAGCAAAGTTTGAAATATCAGATCAATGTCCACTCCATAATCTTAACTTTACAGTTCAATATTTTGGTAATGGCACTGATGTCATCAACAATTTCCACATCTCTAGTTGCATCTTTCCCCAACTCTTCAACGGAAGCATCAAGTACAGGCAGTTGTATTCTCCGATACCTTACCCAAGTAGTACATGACTATCTTAAGCCTATCAGGTTCATTCTACTCATAATATAACTCTAGACATGTCCTACTTGATATGTAGATATCATGTAAATTTCAGTACAGGTTCCTGTATTTGATTCCAAATAAACAAGATGTACCCAATTTTCAGAGGCAACTGGTGGCTGAAAACAATGTGGAGGCATAGCTGTCATTAAAGCCATCTCTAAATTTTATTAGTTCCAAGTGAATTCTTCATCATCAACTCCAACCTGAAAGTGGTTCTTTTTTTTATTATCATTCCTATGTGATTTGAGTAATAAATGGAAAGAAGAAATACATCAAGTTTCACTTTAACTCACCAATAGCCAGAAATATATCATTTACATTCATCGCTGTCTTAGCAGAAGTTTCCATAAAAAGGAGACCATTTTCTTCAGCATACGCTTGAGCTTCCTATAAGAATATAAACATAATAAGAAAACAATATTATAAATATACTTCATTGTACTTAATTTTCCTTGATATATTTTTAAAGCATTAGTAAAAAATAAAATATTCAGATCCTTTACTTTATATTCAACAAATGTTTTTAATGTACGATGTACTCTAAACTTAAAGAAATATGAGGAAACTCGATACAAGGAAGGAAATTGTATCACTCAAACTGATATATATATATATATACTACGTGTTCATGCAATAAAGATTAATCATTAAAATGACTTTTATACCCATCATGTAGATGGAGGGAGAGATGCAATTCTTAACCAAATTTATCATTTGACGATCCTTCAGTATATCTCAACTTTCAGTGTGAAAAATGCTTTTACTAATGAACAAAACCAAGGGCTAGGCCTACAGTGCAACTGCTTGAAAACAATACTGTAACAGGATTGTTTTAACAAAGTCATCTGAAACCAGTACTTTAACATGAGGGATAAAACACAAGTGCTAGAAAGGAAGAATAGGTGTATACAGCCACTTGAAAGCTAGGTTAATAAGACCAATATTTGAAACCAGTAAAGTAGCAGAAGGGTTAGGCCTACAACACAGTCACTTGAAACCAGTACTTTAACATGAGGGATAAAACACAAGTGCTAGAAAGGAAGGATAGGTGTATAATACAGCCACTTGAAACCAGTTCTGCAACTGGAGAGCTAGGTTAATAAGATAAATATTTGAAACCAGTAAAGTAGCAGAAGGGTTAGGCCTACAACACAGTCACTTGAAACCACTATTGTAACAGGAGAGACAGGTTTATAACACAAATATTTGAAACCAATAACTGTAAAAAGAAAGCTAAGTATATAATACATCTGCTTAAATGTAACCAGTAAGAGAACTGTAATGAAATGGTAAGCCTACAACCAAGACCAGCCAGGTTTTCTGTGGCCTTGGTCCAGATACTTATAATGGGGGGTCCTTAAACCTTAATTCTGTTTTATGTAAAATATAAACAGTAGCTGCAGAATTGACCAAAAACAGAAATTCGCTAAAACATTAAAAGTTCTTTGAAGTCTTGGTGGAGTTCCATGTAATATAAAACTGTCACTTACTAATTACATTATTTAGAACTATAGTACAAAGTTGTCCATTGCAATATGGTGAGAGCCTCGATTTTAATCAAAAGAAAGATGATACACTACTTTATGTGCAAGTATTTTAACTTACACTTTAAGGTTATGAAAAAAAAACAGCTGCAACAGCACAGTGTTAAAAATAACACAGTTAGCTAATACGTGTGTATGCTGAACACCAAAGCGTTTAAATGGTGCATAAGAAAACACATAAAAGATTTCAAATGTGAAACTACCTATTAAATACACATAAAAAAGAAACATCATTATTATTCTACGAGATATAATAAAGACTGATATTACATACGGTATGTATAGGTAACACCATGCACAGATGAACTGCACAGTTACTTAGGGTAACAGGTCACATGAACTACTCAAGAGCCTTTTCATGATTTATACATATGTAAGTTTGTAAAAACCAGCACTCCCTAGTGGTAAAAATAAATATTTATATACCATAAAGTTATTAAATACATGTGCTTCTAATTCTTCTGTTATTCTCTGGTGAAACGACTAGACACATAATTTCATACATTCTACACCTCAAGTTAAAACTGAGGCTTTACTCAACATATGTGTGCTAAACTGAAAGACAGACTTGAGTTTTTTTGTGCACTAAGAAGCTCAAGACATGAATGAAATGGTCACAAGTAGCTGTTTAAATATAATTTTCTCAAACTTTTATTACACAGTATGATGTAATAACTGACAATATTCAAAGCTGAGATGCATCTTTTGTAAACATTAAAATTCAAGTATCCTCCCGTTTATAAAAAGTAAAATTACTTGCACATAATTATAAAATAACACAAATTTGAGCAATTTTTTTTTTAAAGACAAAATGATTAGTTTTATAAATGCCTAAGCATAAAAGATTGGAGAGACAGCATCTGGAAATAAATCAGTCAGCATTTTGTAAAACTCTGCAACTGTTTTTGAAGACTAAATATCTTGGCAGGAAAACAATAGTTAAAATAACTTAATGAAAAAAAAAATTAAAATCTACAACAAATATAAACTTTAATATAAGATCTTACTTTTACACATATCTTGTTGGTAAAACCCTTCCAATAACATATTATATCACCAAATGCTATACTATAAATGAAAGCAGGGTATACTGCCTTAGTCATCTGACACAGGGGGTTCTTACACTGATGGCCACAGATAAGTGCAAGTGTAGCTACAGTAAGCACTCAGTGTTATTAAGGTACTCGAGATTTACAGATTCACTGGGGGGAAAGGACCCCAGTCAATGTTCTGAAGGTGTGGTGCTGAGAAACTCTGATCTAACATGTTCAGAGGAAGGTGTTTGGCAAACAGAACAGGAACTATTTCCTGAATCAAAACTTCTACATGGCTACTTGATACAAGAAACTTGGTTTAATATTATGTAAAGTGGTTCTTTTAGACCAACTGACTTGCATGTCAAGCAAAAAAAAAAGTACATTCATAATGTTAATTTTCACCATTTCAAAATGACATTGCAATACCATCCTTCATTTATGTTCAAGTCCACTACTCATATTTCCTACATATTAAATCATTAGCTAATTTCTTGTTTACTTTAGAGTAATGCAAGTTTACTTAGCAAAATTACATTGATTTTACAAATGGAAAAAAATTGTATGACCAATGTGAATAACAGATAGTATTTAAGAAAAATAATACACCTCATATTCTACCAATCGTTTATTGGCCAAATCTGCTTTGTTCCCTGCTAATGCAATAACAATGTTTGGGCTGGCTTGACGCTGTAGTTCCTTAACCCACGTTTTGGCTCGACTAAATGTATCCTGAAATTTAAACAGAGAGAGACACTTCAAGAAAATACCAAATCATTTTATAAGACCAAGTTTTAACTAAAACTGACATCAATTAGTAAAATAAACCAAGTTTGCCAATTTTATATATTGGCTAAAAGAAGGGAATAATTATTTGTAGTTGTTGAAAATGATCTTTAATAAAAAAAAAACTTCAAGCAAAAGTAAAAAACTTTTCAATCTTTTGAATACTAATTTGTTGGAGAGTTAACAACCGAATAGGAATATGTAGATAAACGATGTCAACATCTGTGGATATCACTGTAATCTTAAGATAAGTGTATCTGTTTTGTACGTAACATTTCTACATAGGTTCCAAACATAGCTAATTTGTTGTCAATAAAATAAAACAGTAGCACAGCTTTATAACAAAAAGAATCTAATACTGAAAGGTAATAAAAAATCTCATATAATCAACAACATTCCTGGCAAAATCTAACTCCTACGCTTCGACTCCAAGACAGACTAATTACAAACAGTGATGACGTATATAGATATAGAAAATATATATACAAAAAAAAAAACACACAGAAGTTCTAAGACAAAGAAAGAAAAAAAAACACCAGGTACAATGGGAATAAAATCTATGAAAACTTTAAATTTGACACAAAAATATGGGTTTAAACCTTTCTTCGGGTGATGTTTGTTAAAGCGAAATATATTCAACTTTAACAATGATCACCTGAAGAAAAGTTTAGGTACAAAACATTGTGTAGAAATTAATGTTTTTTACAGATTTCACTTACAAACAGTGCCTTCTTTAATTGATACCTTTCAGTAAACTTTTGCTATCTGTGTAAGGCATTTTGTCCAATTTTTCATTGTACATGCATTTGTTACAATGTTTGTTTTTAATCCCTTCTTCTTCTTCCATATTGGTGTGAATCTAAAAATCTAGAATTACAGGTAACATAATAAAATAACTCGACAAAAAGTAATGTCCCTGATTCGAGAACAATTATGCATTTTTAAATTTACGAGTAAGGCACACAAGATGTTATTATATGCTGTTAATCAATCTTGGTTGCCTCCAATTTTATCTTTATATTCTCATTGTACAGAAAACTATATTTTAGTAAATACATTACACTCTGTAATAATTGAGGTTAAATCTCTTTGATGATGACGAAATAAATTGTATGAGTAGTAGCCACTCTCACCCAGTGTTCAACCAGAAAAAATAAACTATTCAACAACTGTACACTATTCATCAAGATGAACATTACACTTGTGGAAAAAACTTAACAAAAATAACTTGTACAACAAATATTATTGTCTGTCATGATTTAAAACGAAGTTGTACAAATAACATTTACTGTGTTTGATTCAATAAATGTAACAATATCTCAGTAAATAGAAAAGATACGAGTTTCTTATTTTATATTCTACCTTGTCAATATCAGTAACTTGAGTTCTAATTATAAGAAACTATAGACTTTGTATTTGGACATCATAAACATCTAATATGAACCAATGTTGCATTCAACGATCTACGTGACACACAAAAAATCGATATTTAGGTGCTTTTTTTTTATATTTACTTTTAAATCAAGAAATTAACTAATGTGTAATACTCAAATTTGTATTACAATCTACAATTTGATACCAAATTTATTGAGATAAATTCATAAAATAGTAGTTCAATTAAATTTTGAATGCGAGTCAACAAATGCGATGACATGAACTTTGACCCACAACCCGTGTTGATTTACCTATTTACTAAGTGTTGATTATTTACTAAGTTTTCAACTTTCTCCAGAGAATTCTGCTCGTGTGTTGATTATGGTCGAAATTAAGCACGATGGATTAAACATTTACCCACTGCAGTACTAATCGCATTCTAGTGGGGGTAGGTGCCATTAATACGCTGTTGTTGTTCAATTAATGTGACACAAGTCTTAAAATCATATCTAGCTGTTCATTAAAACATGAACTATTACCTAAAAGATTTTCTAAGTAAAAACAAACATGCGACTGAGTTATTATCTAATACCTTTGATGGATCTAAAGAATATTGTATTCTTTTTTTCGATATTTCATATTGTTGACGATAAATGGGCATTGTTTCACTGAAACACTATTAGGCCAACGGACCACTTGTATCCTGATCCATTTCCTCACAAGATGTAATTAAAAATACATCGTCATGACATAGATCAAGCCACGTTATAATCAGCTGTTTTCAACATGACACTATGAATTAGTAAAATGATGGTACATTCTAGAAGTATTATGACACTGACCTTCACAGGATGAATCTTGAAATGATGTAAGGGTCTTAGAGCACAACCTGTGTAAGACACCAACCTTCATAAAATGTACCTATGATGTAAGGGTCTTAGAGCACACCCTGTGTAAGACATTTGCCTTCATAAAATGTCACTATGATATAAGGATCTTAGAGCACACTCTGTATACGACACCAACCTTCATAAAATGTACCTATGATGTAAGGGTCTCAGAGCACACCCTGTGTACGACACCAACCTTCATAAAATGTACCTACGATGTAAGGGTCTCAGAGCACACCCTGTATAAGACACTGACCTTCATAAGATGTACCTATGATGTAAGGGTCTTAGAGCACACCCTGTATAAGACACTGACCTTCATAAGATGTACCTATGATGTAAGGGTCTAAGAGTACACCCTGTGTACGACACCAACCTTCATAAAATGTACCTATGATGTAAGGGTCCTAAGAGTACACACTATGGTGACTCTTCATGTTATGTATTACTGCTGCTTTACAGTTATAAAAATTACTTGTTGTAAAAAACCTTGGCTATGTAGTCTTATTTTCAGGCAAAAAAAAAGTGGTGAAAAAAGTACCTAATTGTTTTAACAGTAAACTGCTACCGTTTATATCTGTCTCTGTAAATGACCTTATGATTAGTAACAAAAATCCTAATGATCTAGCTAGTTAAATTGTTTAATAAATAGAATTAACAGTGACGATAAATTTTTACCTGATTTACAATGTCATAAACAACAATTGCTGCTTGAGCACCCCTATAATACATAGGTGCTAAGCTGTGATATCGTTCTTGGCCAGCTGTATCCCAAATCTCAAACTTCACTGTTGTGTCATCTAGGCACACGGTCTGCGTCAAAAATGCAGCTAAACAAGTTGGAACAAAAAAAGTCTACTTATAAAACAATGAAGTACCTCAACAATATCAAACATTTAAATAAAGAGTTATACTGAATCAGTACGTACTTTAGTACAACTTAGGCTTAAATAAATGTGAAGTAGTAGCTAACAGACAAAATGATGTCATCCTCAATATTCAGTATGTACTTTAGTACAACTTAGGCTTAAATAAATGTGAAGTAGTAGCTAACAGACAAAATGATGTCATCCTCAATATTCAGTATGTACTTTAGTACAACTTAGGCTTAAATAAATGTGAAGTAGTAGCTAACAGACAAAATTTTAAAATTCGTAAAGGATCGCACATTACCCACCCATATGGGGGAAGAATTTCGATGCTTTGTTTCTGATTTCTAACTACCTGTGGACGATGAGAGGTACTTGTGTAATGTTATGAGTTATTTCATGGTTGTTGAAAAGAAACTTAGAAAGACATGCTTATGCCATATAGCTACAGGTAAGCATACCAAGCTGTTCTAACTTCACATCTGCAGCACTGAACCATCGTCTTTAAGTTGACAAAATCTGTCATAGTTAAATTAATAAAAGATGAAGCAGTGGAAAAAGAGAAAGAAATGTATTTATATTTGGAGTCGTAAATATTTCACGAGTTTTGGTATCTGGCTGAATTTTTAAGTTATAAGAAACCTTGATTTGAAACAGCACGGCAAGAAAGGAAGTTAACAAAAAAAGAACTTGTAATGTTATATATTTATTTGACAACACATGAAACTTGATAAGTTTGGCCTACCACTTACAGAAAAAATATCGTATACACATAGCAATTTAGTAGAGAAGAAATGATGAAATATTGAGGATGACATACCTGTTATGCATCTTTGACTAGTTTTTGTTCTTGGAAATACATGAACCTATAAGTACACTTGTGTGTAGATGTAGAAGCAAACAACCATCACTTACTGTTTTTGCTAAACCTAACTAAACTTATCTGATGTTTCGCAAAAGAAAACAAATCCTCTTACCTTCAATAGATATAATTTAACGTGAAACTTGTTTTTTTTGGAAAAGAAGACAATATCAAAGGAAACTTCAAAAAAATTTAGATATCTTTAGTTCATTCCCAAATATTATAAACTTCACATCAGAATCCTTTGTTCACCCCTCCCACAAAAATTAGGTAGCCAATATTTTGGCATACCATAAATTGCTACTGAAGCTATTATATTTTCTCTGTTATTAATGTAAATAACTATAAATTATAGTTTGTTAATTACTAATTAAATAAATTAAACTAACAATAGGGACAAATTTCACAAAGTAATTAACAATAAGGTTCGAAAATGTATTCATCGATAAAAATAGCAAAAAACACCTAAATAAAAACATTAAGAAAAAGAATAAAACATTTGCAAGACTTATCAGGTTACTCACAAAAAACTAATATACTGTAAAGATAAGAGTTAAAAGAAGTATTGAGGAATAGTTCAAATAAAAACATTAAAGATAGAAGATAAAACTTTACCTCCAATAGTGCTTTCTTGATATTCATGAAACTGCCCTTTAACAAATCGAAGAACTAAACTGGATTTTCCCACAGCCGACTCCCCAAGTAAGACTAGCTTAAACTGACAGATCTTTCCTTGCATTGCTCCATTTGGTCGTTGAGCTCCGCTGCGACCTGCCATTGGAAACTGTAAAAAAAACCAAAAAACATGAAGATAATCTATACTATTAATAGCTGTTCTCTTAGTTTATAACTGTATGGTGTTACTGCTTTCGTGTATTAACAAAATTAGTTACTACAAAAATAAAGTTAATCTCTACTAGAAATTACAAACGTTTTCATAATTTCTAGTAATAATTATGTAATTAGTTGAAGTTGTTTGGGATCACAGATATGCATTTGTACAAGAGTCTGTTTTCGTGTATGACAAATCCTATTTCACTGTAATTACTGCATGACATACAACTGGCATAAATTACTCAACTGTACGGTCATCACAAAAGTTCACCAAGTATATATAACGTAGTAATTAACATACATCTTCTGATTTGAAAAATGTTTAATATTACAACCAACAAAATTCAAAGTTTAAGAAAACTTAACAGAAATAGCTTGACACCACTAAGGGCATAAATCCCATGGTGTTTCCTGTATTTGTATTTCCACAAGTTAAAAATACATAAACATGTCAATAGAGTACTATATCATTATAATTCATGACAGCATTAAAAAATAGGGACACGAACATTAACCAAATCAAAAAATGTATGATTTATGGCTGAAATCTGGTAAAGATTTGGCTTTAATGGTATATTACCGTATTTCTAGAGTAGGTTGAAGTTTTGGTTTCTTCAGTAAATTAATGAGAAACTTAGGAGTGAAATTAAGATTTCTGCTGTTAAGGAGGTCATAATTATGGAGGATTTTAATTTCAGTCATATAGATTGGGAAATATGCAGGAATCAAACCATGAGAGAGAGAAAGGTTTTTAAAAACTGTTCAAGATGGCTTCCTTCACCAACTGTCAGTGAACCTTCTGGAACAATGCTATTTTGATTTATTGTAAATTTCTGATACAGAAATGGTTGAGAGGGTGAAGAATGGGGGTACATTGGTGTAAATGATCATTGCTCAATTAGGTCTGATACTTTACTGTATATGGAGATCAATAATAATGAGATTTTGGGTACAAATTTTCAAGTGATCTGACAAGAATTACAAGATGTGAAAGGGGTAACTGAATTAATTGGAATATCAATTTTGATAAAAGAGTTAGCACAAAGGATCACATAAAGTATAATAGACTTAAAATAAAACCCAAAACTCGAGCACTTTCGAATACTTGACTATTCTTCTTCAGGAGAACAAAGGAGAAGAAAAATAGTCAACTATTTGAAAGCGCTCGAGCTTTGGGTCTTATTTTAAGTGAATTATTTGGAGATATTGATCAAAGGTGGAAAAATTTTGATAAACATGTTTTTACATATTTAAGAAAGACATTTTCCTTATAGAAAAAAAATGTGAATGAAACTAAAAGACCAGGTTGGCTCACAAAGAATATAGAAGATAAAATTAAATAAACACATTACAAGTTTAAATTACTGCTATGACAGGAGACTTAGAGGTTCACTGATCAAGAGAGTTGATCAAACACGATGTTAGGAAATCAACAGCAGTATACGAAAAAAAGGTTGGCTTAAAATGTAATAATTAACTCTTTCAACCCAGGCTCGGTCCCTGGGACCGACCTCGTAACCATTTTGTG